AACTCAACTCGGACCCCCACCCTCTACCTCCAGGGCGACAGCCAGGAGACCGCTACTCCTACTCGCCTTCCCTGTCCCACAGAGTTACACCCCCATCTCCCTCCCTCACACACACCTACAGTTCTCCAGCACCCGGTTCTCAGCCGAACTCTTCTCCTGTGCTAGCGGCACGGGCTCGGACGGTCTCAGACCCCCAAGGCAACGCGGACCCACTTCACGGACAGAACCAGAGCGCGTCCACCAGCATCCTGAGGAGGAAGGTGCTGTCCAAGGAGACGGTGAGGTACTACCAGGAGAAGGCCCTCCAGAGGAAGGGCAGCAAGAGCCGGCAGGAGGGCAGCCCGTCCAGGCACAGCCACGCTGCCATGCAGATCCCCTGGGAGAAAGAGGTCTCCAAGGAGGGGCTCCTGGGGTTCGGCATGTGCCTGGGTCAGGGGAGAAGCTCGGGGGGGGCTGTGGTGCAGGATCAGGGCCTCCTGGAGGAGATTGACTCCATGTGTTGCCTGGGCTCAGTGCTCCACAGCAGCCTGCAGCTGTCCCAGGTCCACTGCAACAACACCCCCCACCCGCTGCAGAGCAACAACACAGACGAGGCGTAGGGACCTCAAAGACCCTCTGTCTGTGAAACGCCATACGTTCTACTGAAATCTCTCCACTGTAATACTTCCACAATACTAGCCACAGTCTCAGAGCTTTTTTATCTCAACACTCAGTTATCAGGAAACATTCTGAACAAATATGATGTCGTACAGACACAATCAGCCTCAGAGCAGAAATGATTTGCACACCTTCCCTTCTTTCAAGACATTTCTGTGTAAAATAGAGCCTTGCTTTCTTGATATAAGTGGAAAAACCCGCCACTGTAGTAAGACTATTAGAACTTGTTTTAACCAATAAATGTCTACTTGTTTTTTAAATGGATTTTTTTTACTTAAAACCAAAAAAACTATTTTAAAAAACAAGTTCTCTACTTCATTTGAAAAGAAAACAACTTAAAATGCATGTATTTGCAATGTAACAAGTTATGATAATCTCACTACAGTGTGACATGTTTCACTATCAATGCCATTTAGGTACTTTTCCTCTGAGTGAATTGGATACTCTGATAAAGCAAAAACAACTTGTTAGTTTACAAAGTTGTAATTTCTTCAAACTAGTGAATTATCTTAGAGAACCTCACCTCAAAATCACAAACTGAGGCCAAGGTACGGCGAGATTCTTTCACTTGTTTAAAGAAAATACACCTTATTCACTCACTAAGTAACACAAACATCTACAACTAGATAAGAAGGACATTTCTCCAGTGTTGGGTCTACTGCTCATCAAAGTATATCCGTCTGTAATAATCGACATTTATATTCAAATTCCGGTAAAAAAAAAGGCCCAACAATCCAGCCGGCAATGGAGGATCTTTCCAGCTTCACTTGAATGAAATAAGAAAACTCTCAGTACTTTGAGGATTATGAAAGGACGATATCTCCTCGTCACATTATTGTCTGTTTTATTTTGTGTTCCAAACATTTCACGTGATCAAGATACATTTGCACTTGTAGATTTAAGAATTGTACTCAGCCTTGACCACCTGGTACTAAAATCACTGAGCAAAAACGACAGTGAGACAGGATTTTCAACACAAAGTCCACTCTTAATTAAACACTGTGTTATCTAACTGTTTTATATCACCAGGCCTTAAATGGACATGTGATTTGTTTTTGATACTCTGGTGTCTTAATCTATACAGGTACTTTGTAATCTTAGATCTTAAATGCAACATTACAGTAGCAGTACTAAAACAGAGTTGTATTTCTCTGTAATAATAGAATAGTTAATATATATATATAATGTGCTTTAAGCTGCTGTTTTCAAATAGCATTCCAGATAATGAGATGGAGAAACCTCTCTGTGTTCCTCAGGACACATCTGTCACTCTGAAGAGGAGGAAATGATCTCAAAAGTTTAAGAGGATGATCTGACAATACCAGTGTCAATGCTCCATGTCCTTTTCTTTCTTCACCATCATGTTCCTAAGTTTCTGCCTTGTAGTCCTTGCAGCACATCTGACTTGCACTGTCCACCTTAAAAATGGCGCCCAGTTTTTTTCGAAGCTACTGTGGTTTGGAGTGGATGTCATAAAGGTGTACTTTAAAGGATACAGCTGGTGATATATTTGTTTTATTTTTGGGAACAAATTACAATGCACCGTGTACTGATTCCCCATACCAAACCAGTACTATTAAAAAAATAATAGGGACACAAATATGTAGCTTTAGTTCCACCTTACAGCTGGGAACTGTAGTTCTTAGAAAATGGTACTCAAACAGGAGTAAAAGATGCATTTGTTTGGGACAGGTAAATGTATAATTAGTATATTTAGAAAAATGTCACCAGACATATCACATAACTCAGTGTTCTCTGGGTCTGTCTCCCTTTCTGTGCTCGCAGGAGGAAATGCAATCTCTGCCCTCGGAGGTTAGAGTCACACACTGTAATGCAAAGCAGTGGTTGAAGATTGTACTGTAATGAAGCAATACGGTTCTCCTCAGAGAGAAGCTACATGGATGTAATGTGTACAGAGTCTAAAGTATTTCTGAAAGAGACTCTCCTGTGGAGAGGAACGCTGCGTCCAGAGACTGTGGGTTCCCATCATTCTCTGCGTCGCCACAAACCCCAAGAAAAGAAGAAAAGCTTTTTCATGTGCTTGTGTAGGGATTATTACATTTATGGTTCGTTGTTCTTATGATTTATGCCAGACGCCAGTCGGTGTGGCAGTTTAATAGCAGCTATTTCTCTGCTTTTTTAGTGCTGCACTGCGTTAACGATTTGCTCATAAAGTCTTTGGCGTGCTTCTAAAAGCCCAAGAAACAGTCCTAGTAATTCCAAAAAGGAGGGAAAAAAACAGACTCCAGTAAAATCTCTGCACTGGCCTTACTCATTGTAAACACTTTAAAAAAAAACATATTTACTATGCAAATATTACAAATTATCAAAAGAAAAAGGTCAGTTGTCTTTAACAGACATAATAACAATCAATCTAGTTTCTAGTAGGGGAAGCCTCATGTGTCCGTAAATAAATAAATATTAAAGTCTATTTAACTGTGTGTGAGCTGAGGGTGACAGAAAGTGTGTATGGTGTGCCTTATACAGTAAGAGTACCACCCAGTGTCATTAGACAGAGGTACAGTATTATAGAAAGGTGTATGCAATGTTTTCAGACCACCTTTTCTCAAAGTAAGGAACATTTCGATTTTTTTATTTATATGATAAACAGACCTGGTTTTGTCCTTAGAATCGGAGCTAAATGAACGTGGGTACTAGCGTTGTGTTTGTAGCTGTTTTTGTTTCCATCTGGGCTGCAGTCCAGTGTTTCTGCTGCGGTGGCTGGTGAGAATCTTCCCGCCTGTGTTTAATAGAAGATCTTTGAATTACTTTGGGATATGTTTCTCTTTGTTCAATATATTTTCTCTGAAAGTGATTATTTGTATCATTTGTGTTTATTTTATTCCTTTTTTTAAAACACTTGTTCTGAGCTTACTCTATTTAAAAAAAAAACATTTCTCAGAGGAGTTGATTCTATATTGAGGAACATTTATTTTCAACTGAATAGATATGTATTTTTGCTGGCTTGAGTTTATTTTACATGGATAATATATGATTGGTGTTGTACGTTGTAAAGAAAAAATGACAACTAATATTTGAATGTTTTAGATTTTATTTTTGGAAGAAAAAAATAGAAAATATTAACAAATCTCCCGTGTAGCCATTCATGTTGGAAAGCTTTCGACCCCTTCTAATCAGAATCAGCAGAGACTGGCGCTTGCTTGTAAACGGTACAATGCTCATTGTACCGTCATCTGCATGTATGTACCTCTTTGTTGTTATTTGTTTTGAAAGTCTATTCTGTTGGTATTAATTATTATTTCAGTATTTAGAGCTTCAATCAAATTGAGAATGATGGAAACAACGTTGGGTCTCGCGCTATACAGTTATTTTGCCTTGCGATAGGTGTTGTGGACTTACAAGCCATCTGCCTTGCATTTTAAGTATGATAAAACATTTCTACTTCAAATCTAACCGTAGAGGTTTGTGAGAAGAAATACTAAAGGTAATATTAAAAAAAAAGGTCAGGTGATTTGCATTTCAATATCTGCAGATGTATTAATACTAAGGATAACTAACACTGCAAAAATGGTGTAATCAATACATTTATAGTGGTCCTGAAATTACAAATTGGAGTGTGGTAGGCGGATGTGTAGCAGCGTTAACTGAGGTACTGATGGAGTGAAAACACTCAACCTCACAAAGATATTAACGTCACTTCTAAGAAAAAATTGTCATCGTAGTGACATATTACAGCAACCTTTTTTCAGTCTCTTTTTGGGTATTGTAATGATTATTAACTCTTCGATATGCCATTAACTGATTTTCTGATTCTGTGCACACTTGCATGTTCTCATTTCAGAGAAAACAACTGTCTTAAAAACTGAGGTCAATCTAATGTGCTATTGGTGAGTAACTTGGTACAACTGTATGCACTGTGAACTGAAAATAAATGATATTGTTTCATGCTTATACATCTCCGGATTTGTATTTATACTCTAAAGGGGACCTATCATGCAAAATCCACTTTGTCATGCCGTCTATACATAAACATGTGTCCCCTCTGTGTAAAGAGATTCTGAAAGTTTCAGGACAAACGATTCGCTCACTTTTTGTCCTGATCCATTTCTATAAAAACCTGTCTGAAAATGAGCTGATCAGATTTTGGCCACTTTATGATGTCATAACGATTTTTTGGTTTGTGTAACCATTAGCCAATCACCAACCAAGGTAACCCCCCCCCCCCCCCTCCCACCTTATCACCTGAATCTCCTCCTAGAGCACCATTGAGTTCTTTTTAACCAAATATCTCGCAGACATGATCTGTTTGGTGTTTGGAGCCAAACACTTCAGAGACATGTTTTGTATATATCTGAGACCTATAATATATTGATGAAAAACAGTACAATAGGGACCTTTAATATTTGTGTACATAGAAAGATACAGCAGGTGTGGAAATAATCTGTGTGTACTGAATTATTTATTATTGCATACAAAGAAAGAAAATGCTAATGCTCTAACAGTAATACAGTTAGCAACACTAGAAAATACATAACATTGTGTCGACATAAAATAAATTAACTTTATTAACCAGAACATTTTTTGTATAGCTTCCAACAATTAAAAGTAGAAATGAAATTCACAGTTTCAAACATGATAAACAAAAATCATCACTATTATGGTATATACAATTAAAATGACACTACAGCTAACTAAGTACATACAAGTCAACCCAGAGGAAACTAAGAAACTACTCTCAGCTAATGTGTCTTGAAACCTGACTTCTAAATGACATTATTCTGTCAGTGAGGAGTATTTCTTATTGAACCCTCAAAATAAATAAAAACTGGCAGCAAGAAACAGCGTATATAGACATGTAACACTTATGGATTTTGAATGCTTTTATACAATAATGAAGACGCATGGATGGAAGTGAATGAATCTATATTTTTCTTATTGTCAGAGACCTTGAAAAGACCCAAAACACTGAATTGAGTTAATTTCACATATTGCTTCAATAAATATTGACTTGAATAGCAAATGTGTATTAATCCGCAGATAAAAACGGATCTTAAGAAATGTACAGGACTACATTTAGTCCTGTAACACTTCATATACAATGACAGTGCCTAGCTGATTTAGGAGATTACAGAGCCTTTTTTTATTTGTTTTAAAAGATGAATGTCTTCAGTAGGAACCAATGAGATTAAGAGACGGACTAACACTTTGATCCTTTCGTTTTTCAACATTAAGGAACATGGAAAAAAAACATGTATCCTCTAATGAAGGACTGTCTAACTCATTCTGCCTGTTTCCAGATGAAACCCATGTGTGTAAAAAAAAGATGGATCAGACTAATAGGTATGATAGACTCGATACGATTTCAACTGAAATCTTTGCATTTAGATGGATGAACTGCTGGGTGGTGAAGCCAGGTGCAAAACATCCCAGGAAGATGGATGAAACACTGGGACGAACCATTACACAAAGAAATGACACAAGATCCGATAGTCTTCCAGCATGTGAAGAAAGACAGCAGTATTTTAAAGTGGAAAGGAAGACCACGGTTATATCCAGGCTGCAGATATTCTTTAAAATAATGCCTCACCCTAAAAACATGTATTACTCATCCCGGGTTACCTTGATTCATCAATAATTTCCTGTTTGTTTAGTCTTTCTTTCACAGTGAAAGCAAACCACCAACGTTTTCGAGGTAACACAGGGTGAGTCATTGATACACACATTATAATTGTGTGGGTGAAGCATTCCTTTAAGTTATAAATCTGTTATCAGGAACATTCATTTTTATAATAACCACATTATCAGCGTGCATGTCATATGAGCCTCTCCATAGGCGGTGGCTGGGTGATGCTCCACATCTCCACCCGGGACCCCTCCTTCTCCTGCCGGCTGGGGCTGTAGGTGCCGTGGGTTGCGCGGCGATTTAGCGCCACCACCAGGCTGACGGAGGTGAGGATCAAGATCAGCAGCAGGACGACGGACACCAGACTGATGGACAGTAAGAGGTCAGAGGTCAAACCCGAAGAGGTCAACTGGAGGGGAAACAGACAGGAACAAACGTGTTGGTTTAGAGAAGCTTATTTCCTCACACACTGTTTCTCACACTCACACACACTTCTCCTCTACACAAGGCGCTCCACACGAGCTGCCAAAGTGCTGATGGATGTGTTTCCCAGCTCAGCAGGTGGGTTGCGATCACCAGGAGCATCGAGTTGCCGCGTACTCAAACCTCCCTCCGTCTGCCGCCTCTCTCGCAGTTTGGCAACGGCTATCAGCAGCCCCAGCATCACCACTATCGCCAAGCCAACCAGACACGGTGCCAACACGGCAGCCACTCGCGAGCTGTATGGAGCACGCTCCGTCTGTGGAGGATCGCACACACACATGAGCAAGATGCTGCCTGATGATCCCATTTGCATATACACCACCCGAAACTCTCACACAACAAAAATAGCTCACACAAACACACATGCTTTTTTTCTAACAGGAAGAGAAGCTGCTTTACATTAAGCGTTTGAATGACTTGTGAAACCTGCTAAGATTCATTTGTAACTTACAGCCTTTTGGCCGTTTGATCATCACACAAGCAGCTACAAACAACCCTGTCTCCTAAAAATTACGTTCCCACATAACTAAACTGCATTCTCAATTACGTTTAGCTAGAAACGTATTTTCTCCCACGTTACGTTCGTTATGAACGTTTCTTAAATACGTTTATTTTCTACATATCTTCTAGAAACATATTTTCTCCCACGTTACGTTTCTTATGCACGTATCTTAAATACGTTTATTTTCTACATATCTTTGCCATTTATTGTCTTGCTTATAATAATGATAACAGTCATTTATAAATATAATTTTAGAGCACACATTTGAAATCAGTAGGCGAGGCTGTAATTTCGCCAGCTGTTACTCTCATGAGCGAGGCAGAAAATAATAGTTTTAACATGCCAAAAAGCTGCTGTGTCGTTTATTGCACCTTGTGGTGACCACCTATTAATACACTGGGACATAATTCATACATGGAACTACAGTTGGGGCTATTGTTCCCACACGGACATGTTATGTGTTTACTATATATGTTGTGTGCCCTCCTGACTTCACTCTCTTGTCGTCCCGGGCTGCGACCCAACAACATCTACATTTCTGCTGCTCATTAAAGCAAGCTTTGTACCTCCATTGCACCGCCTCCCTATCTCTCGGCACTACATTGGTGACCCAGACAACGTCTCGTGAAGTTTCCGGGACGGACCCGAACATGGCGAAAAGCGCTGTTTTTCTCGTTATGCCAGAGATTGTTGGAGACGTCCGTGGCTGCCATGGGCACACGGACTGAGGCTCGGTGCGCCCCCTGCGGAATGGCTGAGGACGTCACTCGCCATTCCCGCATCGTCTCGACACTGGAGGACAGCGGGCCTTCCATCTACACGGAGACAATGCACGACCGGCTGGGTAGGGGAGAGAACCAGACTCCTTACACGTGGGGTTGTTTCTTCGGGGCGTGCGGCTGCAAGTCCAGGCTGCACTAGCTATCGACGACTAGCAGCTAACCACGTTAGCTAACGGCTACGGCTAGCAGCTACCGATGGCTGCCAGCTAGCTGCTAACGGCTAACGGCTATCGATCCTTTTTGAGTTATTTTCTGGTGCCGGAGAGGAGGTTCGACCAGCCGGTTGACCTCATGTGGACACTCTCACATTTTTCACCACCTCCACGGCGGTTCCAGACGCCACTCACGTTTTCATCGACGCCTGGGTGGTGCACTCCTGGACCCCGTCTCGCCTCGACGGTTTTGGACGTCGCCCATGCTGCCATCGGCCCGTGGGTGGCGCGCTCCGGAGCCTGTCTGGCCTCTCCTGCCTTCCGGGGATATCCAGACGCCACTCACGTTCATCGGCGCCTGGGTGGTGCACTCCTGGATCCCCTCTCGCCTCGACAGTTCCGGACGTCGCCCATGCTCCATCGGCCCATGGGTGGCGCGCTCCGGGACCCTGTCTGGCCTCTCCTGCTTCCCGGGGATGCCTCGACATCTGCTGAGGACTTCGTGCCCGCCGCCGTTGCACGTCTGCCTGCGGCCGGGTTGCGCTCCTTCCTCCCGGGGGACTGCTCCTCTCTTCCGGGGATACCTCGACGCCTGCCGAGGGCTTCGTGCCCACCGCCGTTGTGCGTCTGCCTGCGGCCGGGTAGCGCTCTTTCCTGCTGGGTTCTCCGCGACACCTACTGCGGCCCCCGGTGTGGGTGCCCTCGCCCTCGTTAGTGCCCCTGCCCTCTCCTGCGGCCCCCTTTCGTGGCCCGTTCCATGGCCCGGTCCTCACCTGCGGCCCCACCCTCCTCGGCCCCTGTGGTGCTTCCTCCACGGACGCGAGGATTATTGTTTTTTGCCATGTTTGAATTCTGGGGGGGCTTGTGTGGTGACCACCTATTAATACACTGGGACATAATTCATACATGGAACTACAGTTGGGGCTATTGTTCCCACACGGACATGTTATGTGTTTACTATATATGTTGTGTGCCCTCCTGACTTCACTCTCTTGTCGTCCCGGGCTGCGACCCAACAACATCTACATTTCTGCTGCTCATTAAAGCAAGCTTTGTACCTCCATTGCACCGCCTCCGACTCCCTATCTCTCGGCACTACAACCTCAAACATTAAAACAAATCCAGAGTTACGTGTTTCTGTACTTCCTCTAAGACAGGGATGGGCAAATGGCGGGCCGCATGTGGCCCCCACCTCCTCTTTTTGCGGCCCGCAGATTAATTTATAAAAAACGTAATTAATTAAAAAAAAAAGACTTTGTTTATTGAAATCAGATGAAAACAAACTGTCACGGACCCTGCCGTGTTATCTATGATTACTACGCTTTTCATTCATAATTTCAGCGGGAGGGAGGGGGAGTGGCGCTGAGGAACAGCAAAGTACGGGCGTGTTGACATTCCCCTTATTGTGGAATAAGGGGAATGCAGAGACTGGCTACAAGTGTTTTAGGTTCAAGTTAGACAACTAATGTCTGGGTTAGTGTTCATGACTTCATGTTTATGTCATCTTAATGGTTAATCTCAATACACACACATTTTCTGTGCTTTCCAATAGTTTAAAAATAGATTCCACTGTTTAATAACCTGTTCAATACAAACATGCCACTTGTAAAAATGAAATAACATTTCTGTGAACTGATATTTGTTTAGTGAGCTTATTAGAGGATGTTCCCATTTTTTGGGGATGTTCCCTTTGATTGTAAAATGTCAATGATATTTGATATACTGTATTAATCCCCGTGGGGAAATTGTTTCTCTGCATTTGACCCATCCTGTGTTAGGAGCAGTGTGCTGCCATTTTGAACGGCGCCCGGGGAGCAGTGTGGGGAACGGTGCCTTGCTCAGGGACACCTCGGTAGCACTTGACAAGCAGTCTGACAATGAAGATGTCAGACTTAGTATATTTGTTAATAATTACATACAACACATGGAATTTTTGTGTGTGTGTGTTCCAAGTGAATCTGCGGCCCCCTGGTGGCCAGTACATCAATGATGTGGCCCCCACCACCATCAAAGTTGCCCATCCCTGCTCTAAGAAGAAAGGACAGTAACAGAAGATCTCTGTGGCTTCAGGCTTGATCGCCGTTCAAATTACAGCGTTGGTTTCCCCAAAAGTGGGCGGGGCTGTAAAGTGACGTAGATTTTACTCTCATCTATTATTCAAAACCATTCTATTTATTCTAACGTAAATTACATGCCAGTGTTTTATCTTTTTATTTTAAATCGTATAATGTCGGACTTTTTTTCCCGTCTGTGAGGAAAATAAATGGGGCTTAGAGCCTCAAAATACTGAAATCTGTATTTTTGAAAATCTTTTTTTCCTTCTAATTTGTTATTCTTTTCTAAATAACACACTGTTATTTACTCAACAATAACACACAATTATCCTTGCTTTTATTTATTCGTTTAATTCTATAATATTGGGCTTTTTAGCATGCTTTTTAGCCACAAATAAAGTCACCGGAAACAGACGTAGGCCTATAAGGGACATTTTGAGCGATACACACCACAAACCCACTGAACAGATTACCCAAGATCCTCAGTTTGAAGCTCGTTGATTGGATGTTTTAGCCGCAATGCATGTTGGGATATGATGTTAATGCGATATGATGTTAATATCCGAAAACATTTTACAAAAACACATCTGCCGTAGTTCATTATTTATAGAGCCCTGATGAGAAGACTTCTAGAGAAAAACAGGAGAACTGCCGCCAAAACTGAATATGTGACGTGGATCATAAATATATCAACAATTAAACAACATCTTGCATTTATTTTCACAAAATACGTCTCCTTGCAGTATCAATAGTAATTCGGCTGACTTTTATATTTGATCCAATTGGTAGATAGGTTATATTTACACCATGACGGTGCACAGCTGATAGAAAAGGACTTGTCGTTTTTAAAGATATTACTGATTTTCTTTGAATATAAGAATGTAAATACTGAGTTGAGAGAATAGTCAGGGGATTTGGGTGATGGGAGACACATCTATGGAATCACAATTTCAATAGCTGACCATTAAATGAAGGGTATGCCTTTCTGTCTGTGATGTTTTACAAATCAGATATTAATGTGTAGAAGTAAAACATGAGAAACAGTATAGCAATATCCTGTAAAATTATTTAAAAACATGAATAAAACTACACATCTTCAGATGTTATACATACATAAGTGTCCTACACTAATAATACAAAGTTATTATTAGTATGCTGTGTGTACCTTGTGTGCACCGCCTAGTGGTTAAAGCACGTTATTGAATTATTTTTGTTGAATAATGTTATTTGATGAACAAAATATTAAGAGTACATACTTTCATAGGGGGAAAGTAGAAGGTCAATGATATAAATATAGAATATAAAAAAATCAAGAAGATACTGTAAGTGATCTCTACAATAAAACAGTTTAGTGCTGGATGTACAAAGATATTAATAGGAGGATGTGCAAAACAGACAAACTAATTAACCTCTATTTAAACATTAAATAATACTTT